ATGGTTCTGGGTTTGACTCAGAAATAAAATGATGATGAATGATAGTATTGATGATCTCCCAGAGCTTTTATTGGTTGAAATCATTTGTCGACTTTCTTGTAATAAGTTTGTTTTTCAATGCAAGTGCGTATCCAAGCGTTGGTGTGAACTCATCTCTAGTTCTCATTTTGTTGGGCAATATGTACGTCGCCAACGTGATTTGAAAAAGCCCATTTTAGGTACATTAGTTGTAGACAATGGAACATTCTTTCATGTGGAAAACGAGGATGGTCTGATGAGTTTGCAGCTACCCGTTATTTCAGAAGCCGCAGCAGAACAAAAATTATTTGTGGTAGGGGCGTGCAACGACTTAGTTTTGTGCTGCCCAAGCAAACTTGATCACCGTGAATATTATATTTGCAATCCATACACCAAGAAATGGGTTGCTCTTCCTCCCCCTCCTCGAATCCATAATTACGTATCCATAGGGTTAATTTGTGATCCGTACTGCAACTACAACTCATCCTCCTCCTTTGATGATGATGTTTGCATTAATGCTGAATATAGGTGGAGGGTTGTGCGATTACGTCCAGAGTTCTATGTGGACATCTTCTTTTCTGAGACCGGTGAATGGAGAGAGTCCGCTAATGTGGTATGCGGCTCACGAAAGTATTTTGATATCGTAACTGCAGGCGTTGCTTGCAATGGGAAGTTGTATTTTGCAGGTACCGATTGCGTTACATCCTCCTATGTTCTGGAGTTGGATCCCTTCCAAGGTATCAGTAATATCAGTACTGATGGAGATCATATTATTGTTGACAAATGTCGGTTCAGTCTGGCACCTCTTGATATGTCGTCTGACTTGCGGATACATGGCATGTCGATGTATCTGGTTCTTGGTGTATGTCGAGGGATCACGAAAGTATTTTGATATCGTAACTGCAGGCGTTGCTTGCAATGGGAAGTTGTATTTTGCAGGTACCGATTGCGTTACATCCTCCTATGTTCTGGAGTTGGATCCCTTCCAAGGTATCAGTAATATCAGTACTGATGGAGATCATATTATTGTTGACAAATGTCGGTTCAGTCTGGCACCTCTTGATATGTCGTCTGACTTGCGGATACATGGCATGTCGATGTATCTGGTTCTTGGTGCATGTCGAGGGCATTTGCGGGTGAGCGAGTTTGTGATTGGTAATCATTTGAGTGTCTGGGAGTTGGATGCAGGCGATGATAATTTGAAATGGCGTTTGGTGGTCGACCAAGTTCCCTTCTCCCAGATGGATTCTTCCAATTCTGAAGATCCTTTCATGCCTGTAGATGAGTGGGGAAAAACTGCGATAGGTTTCCACCCGAATATTGAGGCCATCTACGTAGATGCTGGGGATGGGAAAATGATCAGGTGCAACTTTGGTGCAAGAATGTTAGAGTTAGTTCCAGAGATTCGAAGTGGGCGCTCGAATTGGCACCTCTTTTACATCCACCCATTTGTGCTCCCATGGTGGCCCACACCCGTTCCTAGCCTCTAAACTACTCTACTATAGCGAAAAGTGTGTAGAGCTCTAACTCTGACTCTAGCTTTGATGCATGACCACCTTCTTCCATTCTCTGGTTACTGGCTCCTTTGGCTTTGGCTTTGGCTTGTGTTTTCCCTTGATTGATGTGTTCGTATTGGTGCTTAGAGGGTTTCGATTTTGGTGTAGTGGGTGATTATCGTGTGCCTATCTTTGTATTTGTGTGCTCATGTTTTGTGACGGTTTTTTTGTTTTTTTATATTTGCCGATTTGTGTGTTTTTGGTTTTTTTTTTCAGTTTGTTTTTTGGTTGTATCTTGCATATATCCTTCATTGGTGTTTATGATATTTGGTAGTCAATGTCTCCATAGTCTGTATTGTTTATATGGGTGAGTGAATTTTGGGGAGAGCATATCTTCCTGCGAAAATAAGATGAATGTCATTTTTTTTTTATACGCGTAACAAAAGTAGTTTAAAAAAAATATCTATAAAAAATAATGTAATGTGTTATATTTTAGGTTGTAAGATAATTCTAATGGGTAAGATTACAGGTAAATAACTTTTAAATGTTTGCGCTACACTATATATATAGTACTTATATTTGGAATGCCCCTTGCCCTCCCTCTCCCTGGCTTATTGATGGCATTATGGAGGATTGTGTTGCGTCAATTCAGCTGCACCAAAATGGATTCAGCTGCATCCTCAACTTGTGATACTCGCAAGTGAACGAGCCGTTCGGTAGTATAGCATATGTAAGTGCGAGGTCGATTCCACAGGGATTGGTGATTGAATGATCCAATTCATTTCCCCTACACAAAACAGAAATGAAAAACAAAATAAATAAAACAAGAAAAAAAGAAATAACTCAAGCAAATAAGTTCCCAAGTTCAATTAGATTAACGGATTGATTCTAGCTAAAGTATGATTAAGCCATGGTGTTTGGTCCTAACCTTGTATTCCTAATTCCCTAATTTGATCATCTGTTGTCTAACCTAAACTAAACATTAGGAATCCATTAACCATAGAAGAACATTTTAAACAACCAAGTATGTATCTAATCCCTGTTGTCGAATTTCCATACATACT